GCCTGCTAAGGCGGCCAGGCGCGAAGGCGAGCGGGCTCCTCGCGCCGAGGACGAGCCTCCCGTCCTGCCTCTTACTGTGACAGCTACAGCCCCTTCGCCACTGCGGGTTTTGGGTTCTCCTTCCCACTAGGTAGATGAATGTCCGAGAGAAGCCGTGGTCAAAAAGCTGGCCCTGGTAAGGTAACCAGACGTGTCACTTACCGACGATCAACTTCTAGGAGATATGCCTTGGTGCTTAACCACCTCAGGGAGTAAAAACCCACGTGAAGAGCTCTTCTGCTTCTCACTGGCTGAGGCATGAACAGACACCCATCTAGAGCGGGCTGCATCCGTACTGCAGCTTCCTACGATCTAGCCTGGACGCCGTCGCGGCCCCGTGACGAAGGACGTCATTACTCGTTGAGCGCGTGCGAGTGCAGACCCCGCCAAAGTTCCAAAATCTACCGGGAGCCATCGCGAATACTGAAAAAACACCCCACCGACAACGCCGCCTAAGCATGCCCATGACGAGGATCCGCGTCCTTTTTCACGCATCATGCATCGGAACGTCTACTGCGGAGCTCTGTCCTGGTACAAAAGCAGCAGCGTTAGTCATTGCAGGAGGGTTAGTTTGTACAGGAGGCTGTTTGGCAGAATTAATGGAGGTGAAACTTACTGGCATATCTCGGCTGCAGCCCCATGCAAGCAAGCAGAAAGCAAAAATATTTAAAATGGAAGAGAGGAACTGGCTAGCAGGCAGCTACACTCACCCTTTTGTACAGCCTATGGTCCACCAGTGGGCTTCAGATTGCAAAACAACACCAAAGAGCTATTAGCACACACATGGCAATAACCGTACCTTACCAAGAGCTCCACTTCAGGGAGGAGACAACACTTCTGCTTGCCTGGAGAGAAAGAACCCTTCCCACTCCTGCCTACTGGGCTCCTCTTCCCCAGGGAAGAGCAGTCCTGTGTTTAGGTGCGTAGGGCAGGAAGCAAGAAGCAGGTATAACAACCCCACGCTGGCACCCCCGTGGCATTTCTAGCTGCAGCGACCGTCTGTTATCTCATTCCAAATGCTGCTCTGTCACCACCGCTGCGCATCCTAACCGCCGCCTCGCAGTGGTGGAGGCACCCCTCAGAAAAGCACCGTTTTCCGAAGAATCGGAAGCGGGAGGCTGCCCTCCCAGTGCCAGCTGACCGCACGGATCGCGTGTCAGCTCAGCAAACCCACCCCGGAGCTCCCGGGTTTCCGTGCAGCTCCGGATGTGGGGTGGCTGGGGAGTCACTGCGGAGGCGGGGTGGTTCCCCAAACCCTTCAGCTCTGCCTCGCACCGGACTGTGCCAGGGAACGGCTCCGCTCACAGGAGGGATAAGGGCAGGTCCTAGGGGGAAGTTAGTCGAGGGAAGCCAGGTGGGAGGCCAGGAAGGTCGTGTGTCTCGTTCTCAACCAACACCACTTCCGTGACATCATGTTGATACCGTGTCATGGCTGATGCATGCTTTCACCAGGGTTTTTTTGAGAATATGGCAATAGATGGATAAATAAGGTTTTGGGGTTTTTCTCCCCCCAAATCAAAAGGAAGCGATACGTGTCCGACCGTCAGAACGGCGGCTGCTGCTGACCGACCACTCGTCTCCACCACACCTGAGGACACACGGCTACTAGAGCTCCGGGATCTCCTCTAAGAACACATTCCACCAAAACCCACACTCCTTCCTGATCCTCATCCGTGCCTACGCCCCCCATCACTGCGAGCGCTCCCACCGCAGAACCTCTCTCGTCACCCCTCTCAAAACACAGGGAATGCTGTCTGACCAGGCAACAAGCCTGAGCCCAGGAGACCGGAAAGCACAGACCCAACACGCCCGGATCCTCGAGCTGACGGGAGCCTTTGCGCCAAAAAGCCACTAAGCGAAACGGGAGAAGCTGCCGGGAATGCTAGCGGAGAGGGGTCTCGGAACTGGCTTACGGTGGACTCCGGCAGCAAAACCACAACCAGCCAGATGGTTGCAGGGGGAAAGTCCGAGTAAATCTTGCCTAAACGCTACAGAATGAGCTCTGATTAAGAGTCAGTTATTGGCTGAGCAACAGAATCCGCTCGTGGACCAACACCAAGGTTAAACAGTTCCATTTTTTTAAGGTTGAGTTTCTGAACCTTAAGAATTCGCTGCCTTTTTGCTCAGCTCACTGTCCTTCCGACAGAAAGCAAGTGGCTTTCACAGCCTCCTCCCCCACCCGACAGAAACCCGCTGCAAGATCCTGCCTCTCCGATGCTCCTGTGCCCGCTCTTTTCTCCCACTCCCTCAGATGACCCCAAAACACCCGTCACTGCTATCCCTAGTACCGACAGGGCTGTGGTTTCACAAGCATCTCCCTAGTGCCATTTTTACGCTATGGCAGGTGTTAGTTGTTACGGCGTGCCCCTGGATCATCCGGAGCTTGGATGACTGAACTACTTCTTTATGGAGCCTGGGTCACCCTAATCCTAACCCTAACGGTTTCTGGCTCACAGCAGTAGTGTGCTAATTCCTTCAAGAGGGAGGAATTCTCTCATCTTCCACCTGGCACCCCAGTGTACATGCACCAGGAGCAGGGCAGCTCAGGAAGGGGGGTGCAGAGCCAAGCTTGGGAAGGAACAAGTGCGGGTGGTCTCGCCGGGATGCGGCTGTGGTGGGGAAAGCGCGTGGATCTCGCCCTGGGGGCGGGAGGTGGGGAAGCAAACGGGTCAGCCCCAGTCAGCTGAGATGCTGAAGCTCTGATTTATTAAGCAGATCTGCATTATTTCCAGAATTTTACTTTCCCTTTGCAGTTGTTTACGCAAGCAAGAGATCTCCATGTGTTTGTCTTCAAAATCCCGCGTGGTAACAGAGCTCTAAGAACCGATCTGGCTGTTGTTCTTCACGGAGCGCAAACAAGCACGAGGACCAGATCTCTCCGTACGGTACCGGCATCCCGGAGAGTCCGAAGGCCCTTGAGATCCTCTCACAGCGTGATCCGAGGATCACAGATGCAGCCTAAGTGCGGTGAGGACGAAGCCTTTTGGGAAACATCTTTCTTCGCGGCTGCTTGCTAGAGCTTTTTGGGCAAGCAGGAGGAAGACGGGGAGAGAGGCTCCGACACGTCACTTCTCTGAACAGCTCTCAAACCTAGCAGGCTGGGAAGGGCCTGTCTTTTCCCAGCAGATTCTAAATGCCTGCACTGTCATTTTGGTAAGCTTTGCTTTTATCTGTAGCATTTGCCAACGCCAGAATGCTCCTGTTACAATCTGAGTCAGTTACTAACCTCAGCTGCAGAGTTTGAAACCCTTACGAGTGCTTGGAGAAAGTACACGGCCACACACGTGCGATCGTTCTCACTGCAGAGGGAAGAGCAAGGCAGGTCTGAAACTCACTTAACAGCGGAAACGAGTTCCCTTTGAGTTCTGTCGCATCCTAACCAAGAACCACAGAGGAATTCCCAAGCAACCGCAACCAAAGAGCCCCCGGACACGGCCAGGGCCGCCGCGCGGCAGACATCAGGTATGGGGCTGCGTGACCTGAGCCAGAGGAAGCCCACTGATCCGCCCACCTCGGCTCCTTGAATTCCTGTTGATAAACAGCCAAGACCTGCACCCGCCTCCCGGACACGCAGCACGGCGGCGACCAAGCTGCCGGAGAGAGACTGACTGTGGGCAAAGGGAAGGAAGGGTCTTGCCTGCCAACTGCAACGCGCGGGGTCTCGGCTCTACACGGGCAACGGGAGGTGCTGAGCAAGAGGAAGGCGACGAGCTGACGGGAAGGACCGCTGGAACAGAGGGCAACGTAAGCCCGGCAGAGCCTAGGTGACTCAGCAGCTGGAGGCCTAGGTGAGCGCGGCACGTCCTGGACACTGGTGGGAAGCCCAGGGATAGAGCTGGTCACGAGGGGTTCTCTGGGCTTGCGTGCCAGAGTCGGCCTAAGAGCCTCCAGGGATGGAAACGGGCACGTGGCTTCTCCAGGACCTCAAGCAGATCTGAGAGGACACAGAGGTTCTGAACCTCCGCCTGCTTCAGCGGGACACGCTGCCCTACAAATATGACAGAAGAAACCTGTTGGGCCCTTCCACACGCCCTGCTGTGGCCAGGAGCCACTTGTGCTCCTTCACAGACAACTGTGGCTGATTCAAGTGCATTTGGAATTGGCCTGGGGACCATAAAGCCCTTCCTTGTCCACACGTTACTTCCCACTGAACCTGCAGGTAGGATGTCCTTCCACACCACCAGCCACGCTGACCTCCTGCAAACTGCAGCTCTGAAATCCTACGAAAAGGACCCAGTCTGCTTCTAAAATCAAGTTTGTCACATGTCTCTCAAAGCTCTTTGTTCAAACATCACTGGGCTGAACGAGACAGGCTTCCAAATGCATCAGGTCTGGGCTCCTGGGTGGGTGAAATGCATGTGAGGTGAGAATGGAGGGAGCAGAGTCAGAAACATCCAAACGCACTTTTGTCTAGGCAAAGCTCCCCTTGGCAACCTGATCACATAGGGATCCTCTCATGGAATAACCGAAGTGAAGGCCCTGCCTGTAGCCGCGTGCGGGCACGGCCGGGCCAGCTGCCGCAGCCAGCTGCCGCAGAACACTCCGGCAGGCCCACGCAGGCTCCCACGCTGGTGGGAGACGATTCCCCTTCACGTCTGTCTGCACGCCCAGCCCACTGCGCTGTGTGGAGCGGCTGACTGAGCTACCCTGCCTGCTGCTCCCCTGGCACGTTCCAGCTACTCGCGCTGGGAAGGACCCGTGGTTGATGGGAGGTTACCAAGCGAGCCTGTGACCAAACTGAAGGAATTGCCAGGTATGCCAGGTGTTGTCCTTTTCCCACACACCGTGAATGCTTCGTGCAGCACTTACAGGCCGTGGTCCAGTGAGCTTTTTTCAGACTTCCTCGAGTTCAACTGTTAAAGTCACATGCCTTCCTTTGCTCAAAATTTCCTTATCCTGTGGCTACCCAACACAACCCGGGGGCTGCTTTATCGTATCAGCAACGGAGCTGAACGTCATCCTCTCTCAGCAACAGCCCGAAGTCGGAGATGTCATTTTTGTCAGGCTATCTTGGAAGCACTTGGGCTTTGCTACCCGATACCAAGCTCTGTAGTGAGCTGATTGTATTGTCCTTCACACTGCATTCATTGGCACCCTTGAGCATCGTTGCATCGCTCTAACCAAGGGCAGATACCAAAAGAGAGTGTCATACCTGTGGCGGCAGCGTCGTAAAAACCGCATAATCTTGCGAGCAGCTTGATCCTGCTTCTTGGTAAGCAGACTGCTTCTAAACACAAAAAAACCAACACTGAAGCGTAGGCAGAATGGGGGAGAACTACTAAATGCAAGTACAATTATCCTGTGAACCCCTGTCCTTTTCCTTGGCCTCCGTCCATCACAACACGGCCCTGATGAGCGCAACACCACCCCCCCCAGCAGCTCACCTGAGTTTCTGTTGTACAATGGTGGCCGCCCGGCGGTTTTGCCTCCTCTTCCCACATTCTTTGTAGCTGCGATAGTACTGCTGGATCAGCATCGCGGCTCGTCGGCTCTGCTGGAATTTTTTCTGCTCATAATAACTTCGGAATTTGCTCTGGATAAGAATGGCAGCTTGTGTCATCTTTTTATAAAGTGCATACTACAAGAGAAACAAAGAGAAGCTGAGGCATTCTGAGAAAATCAGCACGGAGCAGGTTCCTGCGGTGAAAGGCTCTTGTGCACTACGACACGAGGAGGAGCAAACGGGGAACGGGACGAGGGACGGGGACAGCCAACGGGAACGAGCGAGGCGCAGAACCGAGTCTGCACCACGACGGCAACGACCCGGCGTGTGGCCGGGACTGGGTTCGTGTCAGACCTGGCCAGCGGACACTCTACAGGTACGCGTGAATGACCAGGTCCAGCGTTCCCATCCTTGTGAACAGCTCTGGAACAGCTGGAGCTGATCCTGAGGCGTGTTTACGCTGCGGTACTGCAGCGGGCCTGTGTCAGAGAGAGACTGACTGACTACACCTGCAGGAACTGCGTGTTTCCCTCGCCTACGGACCCCGTTGAGAACGGGACGACCGTTTCTGGGCAGCTGCTGCTTGTAACGACCCATAACAACAGCAAAATACTTCGCCCAGCGAAGCGACCGCGAGGGCCGACGCAGCGCCAACGACCACGCCGAAACGCTAACAAGTTCACTGAAATCAAACTACACTTTTCTGCGTCTTCATTTCTGAGGGTCAAATGCCCTTTTTACAAACTGAACCTGCTGCTCACAGGCTGTTCCACTTTCCTAGGACAAGTGACTTAACAACTTCCTTCTTTCTATGCCACGGCTGCAGAATTTCTGACTGTTCGCGTATCCATCTAAATTCAAGCACTTCAAATGGAATGGTGTAGGATTCTAACTTAAAAAGAAGAAAGCCAAACCAGAGCCAAACCCCACAACAGTTAATTAAACAAGTCTGATGCTGAGCCTAAGTCCCAGGCAAAGCTACGTCTCGTTAGAACGCTGTAACGAGCGTCCACTGAACCAGCAAATTTGCATGAGCAGTCACACACATCCCAGATTCCCTCCAGCACTATTATTTCTAGCCCCATGACTCCACATAAAGCAGGCACAAACTCCTAAAACCAGCATCCTCTTTATTCCACATCCTTTTCCTTTTAAGGCACACGAGGAGGCGGCTGCTTAACCCAACTGCAGGCGCTCGGACGTGTTCCTGGAAGCCCTTTTTGAGGCAGAGATGCGGAATAAAGCGCAGCAGCTGCACCGGCACCTCTGCGATAGCAGCCTGCAGAGGTTTTCAGTGTTCACTGCTCTCATCTTGAAGTTTAACGCTTTCAAAACCCTGTGTCTGGTGTTCTTGGATGCTTCAGCAGCTCTAACTTCCGCTATCAGACAGACGAGACACCAAGAGCAGCCCCTGCCCTCTGCAGGGTAACGTCCTCACACGTCTTAACGTGGTTTTCCTGCCTACTGGGAAAATATCCCAAAAAGCAAACAAGCGACACCGCCCCCCCAACATCACCCAAAGCAAAAACCCCTCCGATATCATCACAGAACACCATTTACCAAATTTCACTTTCTGGAATTGAAGCAGTCAGTAGGTGCAGTTACATTTTGCCATCAATTTCTTGTTTGTTTGTTTTCCTTTTAACGTTTTTAATTAAATGGATCAGATTGTGGGTTTATATTAGCTATTTTTAAATAAGTCCACTCATGGGCTGGTCATGGTTTTCCTTCCAATTTTTAGCCCAGATGGGACTTCTGTGGCTGAGTTACAAACCCCCGAACAGAAGGGTTCAAACACGAAACCGTGACGTGAGCTGCGACTGTCCAAACCTGGCCGTAAGCTTGCGCTGATCGCGGCGCGGGACAAGGCACGGAAGGAGGGAACAGCAGCCACCGCGCCTAGACCCCCGTGTCTGCATTCGGCCCTGAGACCTGCTTAGATGAGCTGCTCCCTCTCCTCCTCCTTTTCCCTCCAGCTGGGAGGAGGGTGAACGGAGAAGCCACCCAACTGGCGTGACGCGGCAAGCCTCGGGTGGCGCAGCGGTCCCCGGGCTGGCAGAGCACTGCTCCGACTGGTACAAACCACGACACCGGAGGAAGCTGTGGATGGAAAGTGACCCTGGGGACGCCGTTCCCTCCAGGAAGAGCATGCCTTGCCTCTCGGGGAGCCAAGAGAAGCTCAGCTGGTTCTAGTATCCCATGAGAGCAAGATGTCGCGCCACCGCGAAATCCACCTTTACAGCAGAAAATTACTGGCCACGAACAATTTAAGACTGGTCTTGACAGTTGTGGCCACCAGCACAAGCCTTAGGAATTCAGGGCACAGGTATTCCTAAGACGCAATGCCCAGAATACTTTGGCAGGCTGAACGCTGGTGTCACCAGTGGGATAAACATCCCCCTGCGCTCCCCGAATGCCAAGGCAAAGATCACCGAGCGGCGGCACCAAGGGAAAGCTCATCCTCTGGACACCGGCTCCCAAGCCTTCCCACACCGCCGCCCACCACGCCTGGAGGGGCACCCGTAGCAGCAGGAGGCTCGCTTTGCTCGTCTGCAGCTCGTACTCGTACGACTGCGTCGATGAGCTGCGGCACGACAGCCCTGTGCGTCTCCCCTGAGGTTTGGTTTCTCAGGGATTTCTCAACCACAGGCATTTATTAGTGGATACTACTAAAACATTTCTCCAAATGCCAAGTTCTCCTGGTTTATATTGACTGTGAAAGTTAAGTCCCACATGGAATTGTTTCCAAAATAGCGTTTGTATTTGTATTACCTTCAAGGCTATCCAAGTAAGCTTAGGGAGAAACAGAAAAATACACAGTTAATGTTAGTTCCGCAAATAAAGAATGAAAAAAGAAAAAAAAAACCCCAAACCATCTTCTTTCAAAAAAAAAAAAAAAAAGCAGCAGCGATTCCAGGATCCAAGACACAGCAGTTTGTCAAGCAGCTTTTGAAAGGAATTAAGCTTCCCCATGACAGGAAGCATCACTCCAGACTGACAGCCACGTGACAGATGGAATGTGAATCACGATGCAGTCACCTAACACCAGACAGGCTTCCCCAACCAACGTTTCCGAAGGCTGTCCAAGAGCACCGGCATCTCGTCGCCAGGCAGCAGACAGCTCAAGTCTAGCAGGGTACAGCAAAAACAGGGACGTGGGCTCCAGCCCCCGCACACAAAAAAACCCCAAGCAAACCCAAACCAAACCCAAAACCCAACAAAAACGACCAACCAAAATCTAACAAGTATCTTCTTTTTCTGGGGTTGAGAACTCAGCCTAAAAGCACGTCTCCAGCCAGAGTCTGGAGAAAGCTCAGTCCTGGAACGACTCGCATCGAGCTAAAACACGTGACTTCCCATCGTTTAAAAGTTTAGTATGTGCAAAATAAAACAACCTGTTTTTCATCGTCGCCTTTATCACAGGCGAAACCAACTTCAATTTCACAATGAAATTTGGCAAGCGACTCGTCAGCCAACAGCGTCACCAGGCTACAGCATGCATAAAGGCCACCGGAATACAGCATCGCCGACCGGGAATGCAACATCGCCCTCTGCCTCGCCGCAAAAATGCGGGTATCACTAAGGAAATCCTGGCCAGGATTCCCTCCAAAATCAAGATTCAGGACGTGAATTTTCTCCCCATTTCAATTTTGCCTGAGCAGGGCGTTTCATTACTGCATGCCGAACAGCACACAAGAGGACGA